TACACTCTCCACCTGAAACTAGACTTTGGGGAGACGAGTTTCAGGTAGAGAGTGTAATTTCTAATGAAATCAATGCAGACTCGTTGAAATAGACATTCACCTCCGTAAAAATCACCTTAAATATATATTTCTAGTACTAAAATTCATTATTTAATTATTTTTTTTCCAATTTTTACAGTGAAAACAAAATTAAAACTTCAGCACCAATTTGTCTTAAATATTCAATTTGCCGAATTCGCCCATGTCCATTTTGTCAAAAAATCAAAGAAAATACGAAAATTTAAGAGCAAAGAAAACATTTAAATCACTAGAATAAGTGTTATTCGACTATTAAAAATCGCGTGCTTCTGGTGAAATTGTTTACTTCTCAAAGTTTGCGAAGAAAAATGCAGATTTGAGTGAAAAGTAATAATTGTAAAATCAGAGCCTAAAGTCTCACAGAGAATGATTTAAATCAAAATATTGGCGCAAAACTTTTCTTGAACGTGACAAACAACAGTTTTGACTGAAGATTTCAAAAGGAAAATTAAATAAAATCACAATTCAATCGATAGAAATAGTCGAAAAGTGGTGTAAACGTAAAATATTTTATTTGTTTGTATGGGAAAAAGTGGAACTCGACATTCAAGCGAAAAGTTTTTCTTAAAAAATCCACTTGTTTACTATTTCGAAGAAGAGTTAATATCGTGCTTCCATGCAATCAGTCATCCTCATTAATTGATAGCAGTGTCCTGAGATCCAGAGAAGCAACTTCCCGAACTTCTTCACTATAATTTGAATTCCAGTAAGATGAGAACTGTTCATTATGAACGATAGGGATATACCGGTGACAACCTTAGCTGGATTAACCAGTTTATCAGATTGTGAGTCTTTTTTGTAAAAGAAATTTAATTATTTTATTAAAATTTATTCATCCTCTTTCAGTACTAAGCGAGTTACCGCTCTCCGACACTTTACCATCACATTCGAACACACACAAATCGCTTCTCTTCCATCCAAGAGTTGCAGAGGAAGCAAATATCTTATTGAGTCAACGTGATGATCCACTCGCACAGCAGCTTATCACCGCAATCGAGCAGACAAATTCAACTCACATGTAAATTCTTTTAAGTTTAAGTTTAATTACTTTAAACAACTTCCAACCTATTTTTAGTGATATTAAATCCGAATATGCTGGCAATGACGAATTGAACTCAATCGAATCACCTCATCTACTTCAGGTCATCCAATCATTCAAACCGAATGTGTTTAACAACAATCTTTTCAACCAGAAATTCGGTAAGAATTTTAACGAAATCCTTCCAATCTCCATTTTTTGTTTTCTTTCTGTTTCGTCCTTTTTTTACAACATCAACATTGGCTTTCATTCATTATTTATTTTATCATTTTATCACGGTCAATTTTTGCTCAGTTTGTGTTTGTTTTCTTCTTTTTTTTTTGAAAAATGAAAACATTTTTAGTTAATCCCATTGCATCATCACAATTTCAAAATGCACCGCAACTCACACAAAATTATTCATTACATCCTAATCCAATACAAGCGAACAATTACGATGCATCTTACAATTCCGTCAATAATTTTAATAACTTTGATCAATCAAACCAATTTCCAATGCAATATCAACAACAACAACAATCTCAACAAACGTTTGATCAACAATTTGTAGCGGGTCATATTGTTGAGCAGCAACAGCATCAACAGTTTATGGGACAATCTAACATTGTTGGTCAGCAGCCACAATTACACCACCAAGGGATTAACAACGGATCGAATTCAGCTTATCAACATAGCATAAACGATCTTTTAGTTCAACCTACGGTGACATTACAACAAAATTTGTTTAATAATCAAGAGACGGTTACCACGAATCAATCTGTAAGTTTACAAATCTTTTTTGAAAACATTTTTGTCTCACTGTTTGTCTTTTCCTTCCTTTTAGTCATACAACATTGCACAGTTGCTAGAGAACAGCGACAATAGCAGCAACAATTTATCACATCAACAAAATCTCACTGGCGGCTTCTTTCAAAATAATCTCCAATCACAACCTTCTGCTGGCACATCATCGTCAGCAATTCCACAACAACATCTTCAGACATCAGCAGCATTTACCACAATTGATCAAACACAATTCAATCAAGGAAGTGTTCAGAATCATTACAACAATAATTTACAACAGCAATCGACGGTGACAACAACAGCAACAAAAGTTGTTGATAATCAAATTTCACAGACAAAGAATAATCATCAAACATCGTCATCACAATATATTCAACAACAACAACAGCAAGAGCAATTTAATAATATGCATTTAAGAAGTGGTAAAGTGAATAACGATGTGACACATCAGAAGACGGCACCAAGAAATAATGAATATTTGGAGCAACAACAACAGCAACGACCGTCACCAGCACAAGGTACAACAGCTCCTGACACAAATCATCTCAACTTACAACAAAAGCAGCAAAACAGTATTACAAAAACACCCCCAACAGCCACGGCAACGGCAACAACACCAGCAACAAGTAGTCAAGTTAAGTTGGATTCCATTCCACAAATGAGAGAACCGTCAATGATGGAAACATTTGATCTCGCTGATGTTGGAATGTTAAATTTAGAGAATTTCAATTTTAAGCAAGTTGTCATTCCACTTTCAAAGATGAAAGTCAGTGCTGAAGAGCAAGAGCAAATGATAGCAGCATTAGAAGAATTAAATTCGTCAGGTGATTTGTTTAGTAAAATGAAAGAAGATGAAAAGCGAGCGCCAATGAAACGTAAAGTGCCGTATGAAGATGATGAAAATGTGATGGAAACATTTAATAAGCCAAAGCTTCGACGAATTGAAAAGAAATTGGCGCCAGTTATTCATAAGTTGAGTAATGAAGAGTTGATGAAGACAAACACATTCATTCGATTTAATTCATTTATGGATAAGATTTTTGAGCAGCTTGATGATACGGAAGTTATAACAATGGACGACAATGATGATAATCTTGAATGTATTTCAGCTTCGCTTTTATCAAATATTAGCGGCGAAGCTGCAAAACTTAAAGCTCGTGCATCGATTGATGTCATACCTGAAGATCGTCTCACTTTACTTATCAGCTACGCTATGCGAAGTGTCCACGCAGCAAAGAACTTTTCAGCTGGTCCTGATCTCACCGATGAACTTGTCGCTGAAGATTGTCTCGAAAAGATTCTAAATGCCATTGAAGCCGCTCTTTTGATTTGCAATATTTACACTTCAAAAGACACGAAATTTCTCCAAGAAGACAACATTGACACGATCATAAAGTTTGTACAATTTCAATTACGCGAAACGATTTTTCCATCATACGATCCTGTTTATACGATTGAAACGAAGAAGAAAAGTGAGAAAGGTCAGAATAAGAAAAAGCAAAACAATCAACAAAAAGGCATCACAACACTTTACACAAAGATCGTTGAGCTTACGAAATTGTTTGTTCGTTTGTTCAATAAATTTCATTTTGTTGATACAATCATCATTCATGCAAGCTCATTAGGCGTCGAACCGTTTTTCGTTGATAACATTGAAACGTTGCAGTTTGTTTGTTTGGATCTTGTGACATCGGTGAGTTGAGTTTTCTCTAAATCGCTTGCAGTAATATTTTAATTTCATTTATTTGTTTTTTAGATCTTTCAAAATGAAAAATACAAACATCATCGACACAACATTCTCAACGATATTCTTTCATCAGTTGATCGACTTCCACACTCAAAACGTAATCTTCGTCCATATAAATTGATGAATAATGGAGGAAATATTCAAATGATGACAGCACTGGTGCTACAATTAATACAATGCTCAGTTCTTCTTCCCGATGAACTTCACGAGGATGATCGTGTATCGAAGAAGAGAAATTCCGAAAATAAGAAAATTGATCGCGATAGTTTTATGATAGAAAAGTACAAGACAGCGACAAGTATCGGTGGCAACTTCATTCAAACATTTCTTAATAAATGCAAGAGTCGTGCAACTGAAACCGATTTCCGTCCACTTTTCGAGAATTTCATTCATGATCTTCTAACGACCGTCAACAAACCAGAATGGCCGGCATCGGAACTGTTGTTGACACTTCTCGGGACACTTTTAGTGAAATATATGGCTGATAAAAGTGTTGATCAGTCAATTCGTGTAGTGTCGTTGGAATATCTTGGAATTGTCGCAGCAAGACTTCGTAAAGACACAGTAAAAGCAAGAAATCGTGTAAAAACAATGGACGAGCTCATTAAATGCATCAAAATTGAACAGGAGAAAGATGGCGAAGAATCAGACGATGATGCGATGTTTGAGATTGATCCGGAAGAAGAGCGAACGGAATTTCTTCAAAAGATTCTTCTCGATTATCTGACTTTGAACAGTCAAGAGGAGAATCCCGTATGGAATCATGCACGACACTTTTACCTCACAACATGGTTCCATGATATTCAACGACGAAAGAAAGAGATAAGTGAAGGTGCAAAAGGTTACGCAAGTCGAAAAAAGCAAAAGAAATCGTCGAAGAAAAAGTATCGAAGTGATGAAAGTGATGAATCGAGTGATTCTGATGTACAAGAAGTACGTGAAGTGGATCAAGAATTGAATAGAGAAATTTTTAAAGTTCTCGATGAACGAAAGAAATATCTTATGAGTAAGATTGCTCCATTTAAGAAAACGACACGTGATGTTGTTGATCTTAAAACTTATCTCGACTATGACAATGCAAATCTTATTGCACAATATCTCGCTAGTAAACGTCGATTCTCACAAAGTTTTGACATTTATCTTAAGAAGATTATTCTCGTTGTACGTGAACCAGTTGTAGCAATACGAACGAGAGCTATGAAATGTTTGGGAAATATTGTTGAAGTTGATCAATCGATTCTCGCACGAAAAGATATGCAAATTGGTGTTGCACAAAAGCTTCTCGATGCAGCAATTTCAGTACGTGAAGCGGCTGTTGATTTGGTTGGAAAATATATTCTCACAGATAGAACACTCGTTGATCAATATTATGACATGATTGCACCGAGAATACTTGACACGGGGGTGTCGGTTAGAAAACGTGTCATAAAAATTCTTCGCGACATATGTGTCGAATTTCCTGATCATCACAAGATTCCTGACATTTGCATTAAAATGTTGAGACGTGTTAATGACGAAGAGAATATTCAGAAGCTTGTGATGGAAGTTTTCATGACAATGTGGTTTACACCATGCCATGACAACGACAAAGTAAACATTTTCATCTTAATTTTAACACTTTTTTAATCTTTTTATTCTTTTTTATAGGATGGAATACGCCGAAAATGTGAGCAGATTATCGATGTTGAGCTGTCATCACAAGAGAAAGGATTCCATGGACTTTTAAGAACTGTAAGTTTGTTTTCGAACAAGTTCGAATTTATTTTCGAAAAATGAAACGTTCGGATTACTTTCAGCATAGCTTTTCACCCCTCGAAATATTCAATTTTGACTTTCGTCTTTTCAGGTATTTGAACCAAAAGAAAGTAAAAATGATGAAGCAAAAGGCAAGAAAGAAATCCCACCGACACTTGTGCGCTCATGTCACCAAATCGTAAATGGTTTAGTGAATTCAATAATGGATCTGGAGAAGACGAATGGATCGCGACTTGTTGGTTGTGTGACAGCACTTCACTCATTTGCACAAATACGACCACAACTGTTGGTGGAACATGCAATCTCATTGGAACCATATCTGAACATCAAATGCAGCTCAAGTGAACAGATTAAATTTCTTAGTCTGCTTGCTGAGATTCTAGAACACGTTGTACCATTAATGGAACATCCTGGTGAAGCTTTCCTCTCGGAGCTTGAAGCTCATCTTATGATGTTGATTGTATCATCGCGACAAATTGTTGTCGTTAGTTGTGTGGCTTGCCTCGGTTCAGTCATCAATAAAATTACGAAAAATTATCCACTTGTTCGTGATTGTTTCTCAAAGTAAGTTTTTTTTTATTATAAATTGTCAAACTTAGTTAAATTAACTCATTTTTTGAATAGAATCTACACGAGAGCTTTGGTACAATCAAAAGAGCTTCTCATAAAAAATCCTAGCGTGTCCAAGGATCAGATTTATAATCCAGTCTTTCGTCGTGGCATCTTCACAGTTGGCCTTCTCATGCGATATTTTGACTTCAGTCGTCCTGATGTCAACGGATCCAATACAAATGAAAGAAGTAAGTTTACTTAAATTCTTCTTTAATTTAATCATTAATTTAATTTATTCAATAATTTAGATCGACTATCACCGAATATTTGCGATGAAGTGTTCGAAACTCTTTTCTACTTCTTAAATTGTCAAATTCCTCAACTTCAACGTGAAATTCTTCAAGCACTCGGATATTTTTGTGTCACAAACTGTGAATATTTAACGCGACAAGAGATCCGAGATTATTACAATTATCTTCTCACACCTGTTAGCAATCAAAATGAGTTGAAGATTATGGTGCTGAAGAATATTTTACTTTATCTAATGGAGGAAGAGAACAAGATGACGATAAACGATAAAGATTGTAAGTTAAAAGTCCTTCAAATTTTCATAAATCTAATCTTTAACATTGTCAACAGGGCAAACACAATCAAAGACTGAAGATCTTAAAGAAATGGGCGATATATCATCAGGAATGTCTAGTCGTGTGATTCAAATTTACTTAAAAGAAATTCTCAATTGTTTTTTGAACGGTGACTTTAATGTTCGCGTGATGGCAATGCGTGTTATTGAAATTGTCCTTCGTCAAGGGTTAGTGCATCCAGTACAAATTGTTCCTTATCTTATCTGCCTCAGCACTGATCCAGAAACGGAGGTAATTTATTGATTCATTCTATTGATATTTATTTAATAAATTTAAATTTTCTCAGGCTTCACATAGCGCCGATCGTCATCTGCAAGAGCTTGATAAGCAATATCAAGGGTTTGTCAACATGAAATGCCAAAAAGGAATTCAATTATCTTACGATCTACAAAAGATACTTCAAGAGAAGGCAAGTGGACGAGTTATTCGTGGTTATCGGATGCCAAAAGCAGGAACTGACGAACCGCCAACAGCATTCAATGGATTTGTTTATTCTTTGTTAAGAAATACAAAACCAACAAGACGAGCTCTCATTCAATCAATAACAAAGCAATTTGATGATGAACGAGCAACTCTTAGCTTCATGCTTTATCTCGCTGATAATCTCGCATACTTTCCCTACGTTGTCCAAGACGAGCCACTCTTTTTGATCCATCAAATCGATTTATTTATTTCTGTTTCGGGTACAAACTTACTTCAAACATTTCGAGATGGTTTAAAGAAGAAACCAGGAGATGAGAATAAAGAAAAGTTGCTGAATCCCCTTGAGGATGAGGATGATGAAGAGGATCGTGAAGCTTTGTTTAATCGATTACCAGACGACACAACAGAACTACAACAATGCATAACATCAGCTCAAGGGTGTATGCTGCTTTTGATTCTTAAGCAGCATTTAAAGGACATGTACGGGATAAATGATGCGTAAGTTGATTAAATTTCGAAATAAATTCTTTCATATTAATCATAATAAATTAATTAAACAGAAAAATTGCACAATACTCGCCATCTGAAGGGACGAAAGTTTATGACAAAGCAATGCAACGTCGTATTATCAATCCATTCAATCCGAAAGCTACGATCGCACTTTTGAAGGAAGATCAGAAAATTTGTGGAAACTTAACAGAAAATGAGAAGCGAGTGTTGGTTGATCGATATTTGGAGGTAAATTTATTGCAAGGAATTAAAATGGGGGAGTTTCAAGTCTAATGAAAATTAATTACAGTTTAAACAGTTGATGATTAAATTGGATCCCGAAGAGGAAGCTGATGATGATGACAAACCGATGTTAAAAACGCCACAAAAGTTTCCCTCACAACCACCAAATACGAGTCAAGCAATGACGAATGCAAATGATATCACAATGAATCATCTTCACATGAATCATGTACAAATTAATTTGCCACGCTTAAATCTTCCACCAGCTGTTTCATCGCTACAAAATTTTGTAAGTCAAAAAACTTTTTTTAATGTGAACTTTTTTTTTGATTTGTTCGCTTTCATCGTAACAGGATAAACAAATCAACGTGAATTCTTTCCCAAAGCCCTTACAGAAGCCCGCAAAGACAAAATCATCATCGAAAAAGTCATCGTCAGCTTCAACGAAGAAGAAGAAACGTCGAAAGTTGTCAAGTTCGGAAGAGGATGAAAGTGAATACGAAGACGATGAAGATTATTAAACGAAGGTCGTTGATAAGAAAAAATGAAAATTCATAACGCAGCAAAATGAGTGAAATTTAACGATATTAAATGAAGAAGGATTTGAAGGAATTAAAAGCCAACAAAATGTATTAAAACTGGTAGGAAGAATTTTTCTTTGTATTTTAAAGCTGTGCAGAAGAGAAAAGAAAAATTTTGATGAAGATTTTTTTTTAAGAATTGAAACTATTTGAGAAGAAAAGGAGAAAATGTTTTCCTTTTTCTGAAATTAATTTTTTTTTGTTTCTTTCTTCTTCTTTCATATTTATTAATAAGTGTAGTGGGGTTGCGATATGAAATAGTTTTCCGCGAATTTAATGCAAAAAAAAAGAATTAAAAAAAACAAATGTACATAAATATGTAGTTAAAGAAGATTTAAAGAAAAGGAAGTGAAAAAATATAATTTTCTGTGTATTCATGCGGGGGTGGATTTTTTCAACGATCAAATCGGATATTCGTGCAGAGCTTTGAATTTTCTTTTAAAAACTTCTTTATCTTCTTAACTTCTGAAAATCGAAGAGAAAAATGTGCACTAATAAAACTTGCAATTAATATGAGATTTCTATCGATCGTTATTCCACCCACGCAAAGAAAATCTTAGCAATTAGATAAATGTCGTAGAATTAAATTAGATTCATTTTGATCACCCTTTAAACATTTCAAATTCTTTTCTTTATCATATTTTCTCTTTTTTTAAATTATCGCAATGCGTCAATCATCAGTTAAAGGAAAGAATTATTTAATAATCAAGAAAATATCTTTCCTTGTAGCTTAAACATCATTTTTTTATAACATTTAAATTTAGTGTTAATATTTCTATCATGAAAAAAAAGAAGCAAAAACACCATCCGCGTAGGAATATGTTCTCTAAATAATATAAATATTAATTAATTAATTACTTATCTAAACGAAGAATAAAAAAAGAAAATGAAAATAATTTTGTAATTATAGTGAGTGAAAAAGGATTTTCACTTGAAACTCATTTTTGCGCAAACATTAGTTGAGAGTTGATTGGAATAAGATGAATTAAATAAGAAACAGAGAAATGAATTGTATTAAAAATAAAATAAAAATCAAAGATGAAAAAAGGAAAATAAACTTTTTTCAAAATGATGATTTTGGTTTTAATTTCTTAAGTTTTACAGGTGTGAATAGTGGTAAGAATTAAAATATTTAATTTTTTACAGATGATTTATCCTTAAAAATGTAAAAAAATCACATTTTAAACAAATCTTATGACATTTTAATGCATCGCTTATAATTTTCATAATTAATCTTATTAGATATGCAATTCTGTTGGAAACTTTAGAAACATAAAAAAAGTTTCCTCTTGCCAAACAATCATTGAGTGAAAAAAAGAAATTTAATATTCCTCAACGAGTTGGAAAATTTTATTCCGTGTAATCATGCGGAAATGTTGGAAAAGAACGAACTCCAATAAAATTTACATTAAAAATAATCGTAAAAGCATTTAAAACCCATTTGAGAACTGCTTGGAGGTTAACAACAACGACTAAATGCTCCAAACTTTTCGTTCAAGGAGTCGTGACCAAGCGGGAGAGAAAAAGAAAATTTATTGTTATTTTCGGAAACATTTTCTAGCGCGAAAAATCGTAAAAACAGCACTTGCGATAAAATAAATAGCAAGTAACGACTGCATAAATGGGTCGAACGAAACAGAATTGAGTCATAAATCGCATTCTTAAGTATGAGAAGAAGAAAAAAAATTGCTGAAGAGATTTTTCTTTTTTCTATCTAAATGAATTCGTTTTCAATTTTCTCGTTTTTCATCTCTTTCGATCGTCAATATGTCTGTCTCTTTTCTTCCTTAAGCTCCACCCACAAAATGCAATTTCATGCTTGATTCGAGCAAAACTTTCATTCTTGATTTTTAAGAATTTCCAACAACTTCGAATTGAGTCTTAAGAAAATTATTTCAAGAGATGGAAAATTTCTTTTCTTTCTCACTTCCACCTACACCCTCAAAATGGTTAACACAAATGCTGTTACATTGTTTTCCCCCCTTAGCACACAACATCATCCCAAGAAAATTGTTGGAAATAAAAGAACCATTTTCACTAAATGAAAATGTAATTTTGATTGGATAAATTTTCATTTTAATACGTTTTATTGTCGGAGTAAGGTGTGGGGTAATTCTTTTGTCTCTGGAGGATTTTTGTTTCGTTGTTATCATATTGTAACAATATACGGTGCTGTTCGGGGTGATTTCAACATTGTTAAAAGTAGAAGAAACAAATTTTCTTTCCATTCTTCTTGGACTGATCGTTTTCCAATTTTAAAGAATGATGATTCAGTTGCATTTCAATTTTCAAGGAATGAAGAAGTGAAACTTTCTTAGATATCTAAAATTTCTCAATAAAAATATTTAAATAATCTCATAAAGTTGAAATGATGGAGCAACTTGCACATTTCGTAACAAAAACATTCGAATATAATAACACGACGAGTCGTGTACTTGAGATAATAAATATGACGACAAAGCTTGAAGAGAGATTAGATAAATATGATGGAAAAATGTCGGAAAACACCGACGAAATTATGGACGAAGACGTGTCTGTGGATATCGAAATTACGGATAATCAAAGTGAACCTGAAGTGAAGAATTCGTCGCAAAATGATACCGAAAATGTGGTTAATTGTGATAATAACAAAGTTAGTGATAATGTTTCATCCGATACTGCTGGATTAATAGAACGAACGACAAGTCCCATTCCATTAATTAAGAAACTAAATCGTGATGGATCAAAGCATGTAACAAGAAATTGGTTAATCTCTGATTGCCCTAAGAGAAAAGTTGAAAATAAAATTCCAGAAATCACTTCGAAATCTGAATCAATGTTAAAATCTCTGACGCCATCGGAAAATCAAGAAAATTCCGTAAATAATCTCATACGCGTTGAAGATTTAGTGAATAAGAAACACTCAACAGTTCGCACAAAACCCGTGAATGAGCTTTTGAAACAATTTAGGGAAATTAAAAACCAATCGCCTTTTCACAACACAAATGAAAACTTCAAAGTGGAAATGGAAGACGAAAGAATTAAACCAGGTAAGGCAATGGATTAGTTGCTGTTCTACTTAATTCAACCCATTTTTGCATACTTTCATTTTAATTTTCTTTCCCTTACGAATAAATCTTTGGAGTTATTTATCTCTGAAAGTTGTCACGGAAAAGAAAGATTAGAATTAATTATGGATAATTGAAAAAATAAACATTGAGATTTGCATATTCGTTCAACTCAACCCTTCTTAGCTTTTCGGCAATCTATCGAATGAAATGGAATTAAAACGGATAATTTCTTCTTCTTAACAGCGATTTTTTAACAGTTAATTAATTAATTAAATAACTTGAGCAATTTCATTTTATTTATGTCAGCAGTTTGTAAGTAATTAAACTTTGAAGATGTTGTCAAAGTAGAGTTTTGTTTATTTTCTTAGTGGGAGGGAAATTGCTTATGAAAGCTTCAGAAGTATTTCCGTCATAAATGTTAACAAAGTTAATTAAAATTAAAATTTGTTTTACAACTAACTCAATTTAAATGAAAGATTTTTAGAAAGAACTTTGAAGAGTCATTAATAGAGGCAATTCACAGAATAAATTAAAACAAAAATATTTTTAATAATCGAAATATTTTTCACATTTTATGTAAATTTCAAATGTGTTTCAATTCACCTAAAATTGAGGTCTGAGTCATCGAATAGATAGAAAAAGAAAAATAATTTCTAATTGCATTAAAAATGTATGAAAATACAATAAATATAAATTTAATGTCAAATCTAAGCGAATAAATTTTCCGGTGAATCCGCAAACAACCAGACGCTACAAATTTTCAATTGTGAATGTCATCAGAGTATTAAAGGGTGAGAAAGAGTGAGAGATGTGAAAACAAAGGGTGATGAGGGTGATAAAATTTGAAATCATAAACATCTAAACATTTAAATGAATAATTGTTGATATTTGATTTAATAGACTCGGTAGTTACATTTAAAGATTTTTAATTGATAACAATTTTGTTGTTGTGCACTTAGAGACTTTGGGGATCTCTGTAAGGTTCTCAGGTAGCTTTTCACGGTCAATTTATTTCAACCTTAGATCTGTTGGATTTATAAAATAGAAACAGAATGTTCCAAGCACTGTTTCATATCTCTCGAGAGTACTTCGACTCCGACAATCAATAGAAATGCTTCACATTCATTTATCACCGTCAATGAAATTATCAAAAAACATTCGTCTGACTTTTGTGATTATTATAACACTCGACATGATTGCCGAATTCTTGATGTTCGTTAACTATGATTTGATTATGACTTTGATTGAAACAAATGATGTTGCTTGATGCTTATGTGCTCTCGTTTTAGATAAGAATGATTCATCAGACCGAATGGAAAACGAAGTAAAGAATGACAATACACAACAAAATGATACGAGCTTGCTTGTACTTAAGTCACCATCATCACCGATCATGATGGGAAATTGTAACAACAAACAGAGAAGATCAAGGACAAACTTCACGTTGGAACAATTGAATGAATTGGAAAGACTTTTCGAAGAAACTCACTACCCTGATGCATTCATGAGAGAAGAACTCAGTCAACGTCTTGGATTGTCCGAAGCACGAGTTCAAGTAAGTATCACATCATATCAATAACAAATCATTTGTAAATTACATTTTGTTTCTTTGAAGAGGGTCGATTGACTAAACGATTTCTTTATTCCGGTTACGATTCTATATCACTTAACTAAATTAATGCGAAAATATTTCTCATTATTATCAATCACATTAAGTGTCGGTCGCTTTAATAGGGTGACACTCACTGTGTCGTTTATTTAAGTGTTGCATAACAAATGTTTATAGATTTTAAAAGAAAGTTTTAAGAATTAAAATCTTATTTAATTCTTTAATATCAACATGATATCTTCAATTAATTTAATTAAATTCTTTCAAGAAGCAACAACCAAATAATTGAGACACATCACGTCGACCCCCAAGATGATAATTTATAATCATGTCAGACTCTTTTGGTTGGAGAAGAATCAGCCAAGCCGCTCTCAAATGTGATGTTAATGCAAATTAATTAATCGTTGTTTGTTGTTGCTCATTAACATTAGACGAGCATAAAAGCGAGCGAACTTATTTCTCTTTCTTTCCCCCCTCAATGTCGTAGACATTTAATTGAATGAATCGTCGTTCGATGCTGCGTATTAATTTGTTGCGTAATCGTTTGTTAATCAAAATTTATTGTGGTTTGTTACTCATTGAATGTTCTTTTTTTCGCAAAGTGAGTGGAAATTGAAGATTTTTTTCAAACAAATGTTTCTCGTTTTTCCACTTCGATGACTCTACAAATTCTCTTCTTGGTTTTGTTCCAAAAAAATCTTTTTTTGTTTTGCTACAAGAGAGGAAGAAATTAAATTTACCAGCTCGGACATTCATAAACGCAATTTAAACCATAAATTATCAAATTACTTTAACGCAAAAGCGAGTAGACTTAGACAAACGAAAAACCACTTTGCAGTAAATGGAAAGCCAACGAACGACAATAAATTTTCCTCAATTTGACTTCACGTATGTTTTTCGTTCTTCCTTTAGGATTTTTTTTCTATTTTTGGAAAATACTTACACATTCCAAACACTTTTGACCTCAACCGAATAAATCTTTTCAATTATCTTTTGTGGAAAATTTACTTTGATTTTATTTGGTGAATAAATTGGTTGTGAATGTTCAGAGAAAAGAAAATCAAATCAGATTTTCACTAAGAAAATAATCTCAACATGATAAAATTTCTTCCTCATAAAGTTCTCGAATTATGTCTTCAACTTCTAAAAATTTTTATTTAATAAACTTTCCTTCTTTTTCAATCCATAATTTTCCTTTTTTCACGCTTACCAGGTCTGGTTTCAGGTGAGTTCATTCAATCTTTAATTTGATTTTCATGAACCTTCGCGCACTTTTCCCAAGATTTATTATTAAACTTAAACCATCTTTGTATCTTTCTTTTCTCTTTTTTTTTTGTTAACAGAATAGACGAGCAAAGTGTAGAAAGCACGAGAATCAACTTCACAAAGGTGAGCTGCAGATTTATTTTTTTCCGTTTTTTTATGTTTTGATATTTATTGCACTGAACTTTTAATTTCGTTAGCGAGAGATTTATTTTCAGGTCGTTGCTGAGGCAGGTTGTGTGTCCATGGGAATTTGAAAGTTCATTCTAAAAATGCTTTCGCTCGTTTGTCTCTCCCGTTCCCCTAAAAACATAAACTTACGTTTTGACTCATAAAAAATATATTTTTTTTTATTAGCAACATAATTAGATTATGTTCAGAAGATATGAACATGAAATGCGATTTGTTACGTTTTTTATGCATTCAACTTTCTTCTTCAATCATAAACAGACGCACATATTTCTGGTAATTTTATTTGATTTTATAATTGAATCTCATTCACAATGTTTCACAGTTGGAAAGCAAAGCGAGACAGAAATCGAATCAAATATTTATTAAATTACAAAAAAAAAGAATGTCGGAGAAGTCGATTCAACTCACAATAAATTTCACCTGATGGCTCCATTTTCAATTGAAAACATGCTGCAAACATAAATCTTTAAGCGAGAATAAAATTTTTGTTATTCTTTCTATATCGCCCTCAATTTTTATTGCTGAAAAAACATATTTCGAGGTCATGTGCGTGTTGATTCAACGCCCCAAATCGATATGATTTTCCATATTTTTATAGCACTTTGAATGTTAATTCAATTACGCTCAATTTCCACCAACGAATATTTCAACGATGATGAAGATGGATCCATTTATAAATCTACATTTTTGTTGCGCCATTTTGGAAAATTGCTCCATATTTCCGAATGAAAATGAGGGAAATCTTGTACGTTGAACGTGATTCGAATTCACAATTAATATTTTAATTTTCTCGTGAAACTTTCTTTGTCATTTGATTTTATATGCGGATAATTTTTAGGGTTTCCATTGCTTGAGTCGATATTTGTTTAAAAAGTTTTCGTCGATAGGTGAAACTATCCCATGACCATGCTTACATATGTAATTTCTATCTATTTAAATTAACTTTAATTCAATTTTCATCACAGAAAATTTACCTTTTAGGATCGAAATTAAATTTTCTTGTTTTCCCATTTCATCGGTAAACCAGCAAAGTTGGTCGTCGTCGACATGTGTAAGGAAATCAGAAGAGAAAGTTTTCTTGAGGGTTTGTGTTATCCTCAAGGGACACATTTAACATCATTTTATTCACTTTTTACCATTTCCGAAGATTGATATTCTACAGAAAATATTTTGAAGCAATGAAAATTGATATTAAACTAAGAATTTGTTGAGTTTTCCATTTCAAAGATTTTTGACCATCAACAACAACCAAATGTGGCTTAATCAGATTTATAATTTAAAACATCATTCAATGAATAACAAAAATCATTTAAATCAACAATAATTTCTTTTCTCATTCGTTTTTTATTTTAATTTCAAATTGAATACGTAAATATTTAATTTAATTAACAATATCATGAATTTATTCAGAAAGGATGAAATGACATTGGAAGATGAAAATTAAATGACTTCAACAATTGTGTAATCACTTAATTAGATTATCTCAACAGAGAAACATTTATGTTGTTGTTCAATTTGGCTTTTTTAAGAGTTAGGGGAAAGTAAAATCTCCACCCACAAACAAACACACACGTTTGCAATTTGTAAGAAAGGAAGCAAACGATACGTGCTTGCTATGGTTCAAGGGGTTGATTCGTGTAATCATTTAAGTTGATTTTTAGTGCAATAAAATGCAATGAAATCTAAATTGAATCAAGTGTTTATGAATAAAAAATGTGAGGAATTGTTACAAGAGCAGCGTGTTTAAACCAGAAGTTTTAAACGGGAATGAATATCAAAAATATCTCAACAGTTTCATTTAGTAAAAGAATTTAATTAATATTCATTCCAGATTACAATTTTTTGACTTCAACTCGCTTAACAATATTCATGGGAGATATTAACAAAACAAAACCAGTTCAATTTTCATTTCTTTCCCGCTCTTCCGCCCTTAACTTGCTAACAAATTCGATTACTTTGTTTTGAAGCGCAACCCATGAGAGAGGGTGACAGATTTATTTATTGCATCATCGACGAAAAATCTTGGAAGGGAGAAGGTTAAACGAGCAAATCCATTCCACTTTATTATTTTCCATGTTTCCTTCGCTGCCTTTTATTCTGCCAGTTAATGTTTATCTAATCAATTAGGAGATTGTAAATCAGTTAAATCCTTCGCTTAATATTCCCCTTCACACTTTATGTTCAATTTAATTTCACTCGAAAAGCTTTTTTATGTCTTTTAAACGTGATTGATTATGAACTGATTATGCATTGATTTTCTCACCTTCTTTATCATTTTTTAAGGAATTTTGATAACGAGTCATAACAGCCCGCCAATCACGACACCTTTGGAACCTTGTCGCGTTGCACCCTATGTTAATGTACCAGCGAATATCAGAGCAACCACATCTGTGACATCAACTACAGTTACGCCTAACTATCCAACTTCAGCGAATTTTTCTGCTTTTGATCCCGCTCTGCTTTCTGCTGCACATCAAGTAAATTATTGAGATTTTAATGTTGTGAGAATAAACATAAAAATATTACATAATTTCAGTATGCTGCAGCCGCTATCAGCAGTGGCACCTTGGATCGAAGTCTTTTTTCTTTACCTCAGTACCCGCTTAATCTTGCAACAGCTCTTGCAACGGCACACAATAAGAATTCAAGCATTGCTGATCTAAGAATGAAAGCGAAGAATTATGTTGAGGCTCTTGGACTTGAAAATCCCGTGTAATAAATGTAAAGCATTTAATAATGTTTTCAAAGCACATCAAAAGTTACATGTAGTATTGATGAGTTTATTAAAAGTTTATGTATTATGCTTTCAAATTGAACTTTTTCATTATTAATTAAAATGAAAGCACTTTCATGATAGTTTAAAATAGATCAAGAACATTTTTTCAGTTCAGCAAAAGCAACAAATAAAGTCATCGATATGATGTGTTTATTCTTTGAAGTGTCGAGTGTGAGCGATAAGTAAATTTAAGAAAATGTTAAAATCCATTTCAACTATTTTTTCTTTTGTGAGTTAGCCACATAACATTTAATCAAGAAATAAACAAATAATTTTCAAAGTTTTCTCAAAATTAAAAACAAGAGTTGTTTAAATTGTTGTCGATTTTCTTCTTTTCAGATTATCAAAAAAGTGATCTTTGTTTAACCGTTTCTAAAATTTTAAACAGACAAATGCGCCATCTGTCGTATTTAAACCTTTGACATTACAAATAGTGGCGCATTAGCATATAATTCAAATCAATTCGAATTAGTTTGTTTTTAAGAGTTAATTAAATAAATTTGACTGTCAAATCTTGTGATTTACTTTTTTGTAGCGACATTTTAAAATCCGTTAAGGCGACATCTCCCAGAAATTTCAGGAATGAAAGCTCGGGCCCATGTTTATGATGTACTCAGTCATCATTTCCGACTTTGGTACGTTCGCGCGGATTTGACCGTCCCATACAAAATACCCACGAAATTTTCGTCACTCCCTGATAAAAAAATCACTCCCTGATATTGCGATGGCAGCGCCGCCAATGTTTATTTTAATAAACAAAAACAGAATAATTAGAATGAAAAGTTTAAAGTTATACTCACATATTAGAACAAGGATTCAATTCAAAAGGTGTTTCAGCATTGACTTTTACACATACAAAATTAGTAAAAAAAATCAACAAGGAAAAATATAAATACTCAAATATTGCCATTAAATTCAAATCACAAACTCAAATCACTGAATTATGTCGCTTTACGATGATTTGGATACGAAGCAGATTCCAGATTGGAGTTCGGGAATCAATAAACTTATGCCGCAGCCGCAATTATCATTGAAAAATAAACTTCAGCCACCGAAAAAACAAGTAAATTGATAAAGTTGATTATCCAAGAGAATGATTATCCAATAATTATTCATACTTTCAGCTTCTCACTCCTGTTGTAAGTTTGAAGCCAAAAGTTTTAGAAGAAAACAAAATAAAAGAACCAACGAAGCCAAAAATTATTCAACACCAGCCGATCGCTCCAATCATTCAAACATCCACAGCAATCAACGAATGGGAAGAATTCTTATCAATCGAAGATGAATACAATCCAGCTGTCCCAAATGAATATGAAAAAATTGTCAAAGAACGTCGCGAACGTAATAAAAAAGAAGACAATAGAAAGCGGCATAGATCACCATCACCGACATTTAAAAAGAGTGGATTTGGTGGGCGTCACCAATCATCAGACGATGAAGATAATTTCAGACCATCAATTGGCTCAAATCGTATTGGAACAGCCATTGCACCACCAAAATCTCTTCAAGAAAGTTCTCCAATCGTAGATGCAAAAATTCCAAATATTAACAGTTATGGAGCTTCTGCAGTAGCTGCAAAAATCATGGCAAAATATGGCTTCAAAGATGGTCAAGGTTTGGGCAAACAAGAACAAGGAATCAGCATGGCGCTTCAAGTTGAAAAAACATCAAAGAGAGGTGGAAGAATTATTCATGAGAAGGAAATTGCAATTCCAAATTTACCCGTTCCTGAAATGTCAGCTCCATTAACAACAGCACCAGCACCACCACCAGAACAAAGTATCACTGAAATGATGAAAGCACCGAGCAAAGTTATTATGCTTAGAAACATGGTTGGACCTGGTGAAGTCGATGATGAACTTGAGCCAGAAGTCAAAGAGGAATGTAACAGAAAGTATGGCGAAGTGGTGACAGTTCACATTTGTGAAATGCCTAATGTGACACCTGAAGAAACTGTGCGAATCTTCGTAGAATTCACCAGAATCGAAAGTGCAATCAAAGCACTTGTTGATCTCAACGGTAGATTCTTCGGTGGTCGTCAAGTTAAATGTGTTTTTTATTCTTCAGAAAAATATGAAAATTTCATTTTTGATGATTGAATTTCCTTTGAGTCTTATTTCATTGATAATAAATTGATTTTTATTTGCTGAAATTGAATATTTCTTAATATCTAAAAGCTTCATTTCAAAAATCTTTCCATCACTTATGCACTTGAATCGAAAAAGTAATTGAGAAAAGTAAGAAAGCTGTTGACATTCATGACATGATTTTTATGTTAAATTGAAGAAAAGTTGAATTTGATTTTTTAAAGTGGCGAAACATTTTATTTATTTGAAAGATTTTACATATTTATCGAATACATAATTTTACTTTATGGAGCGATAACATCTGCGACAGCCTCATTCAGAGGACACATTCTAATGCATTCACCATTTTCATCACGCTTGTAGCCTTCTTTACACCAGCAACTGATTGAAAGGAAGAAAAAGAAATTTAAATAAAGGCAGATAAAAATGAAATATTGAATTTTCATACTTCCATTGACATGGAGGTGGATTTTCTGACACAGTTCCGCACCATGGAACAACTGCATCACATCTTTCTTCGCCAAGAGCACAATAAAATTCTTCATTAGCAAATAGGCATGCAATTGGTCCAACAGGGTATGGCGGTATAGCTACTTGTCTAGAGAGACACGATTCTGAATCAATTGAAATTCTTCTTCCATTTTCGGAAGGCATTTCTTCGCATTTCTGTCTTTGTTCAGTAAAAACAAAAGAAGCGAATTGAAAAATGAAAAATAAAAAGATTTTCATCTTTAAAATAAAATTTCCGAGAGACTTTGAATGTCCTTTTGATTCGTCGCGATACGAAACGTAAACTAATTGATTAAAAGATGTTTTCTTCAACTGATGTACGTTATGAAAATCCACATAAGCAAGTTTGATATTTGATCAAGTTTCTGTTTAACTTAAGAATATATCTGCAGAACCAAAATTTCGTAAGCGGGTTCTCAGATCGACACGTTGCAATGCATTGCAAACAATACAATTGCATATTTCTCTGTATTTTACATATTGAAAGTCAAGTGTTTCAACTAAATATCATCAAAGATAAATTTTCTTGTAGCAACCAAAAACATCTTCATATAAATTATTAATTGAAACAACTACAGAGTCTTGTTATTTGAAATTAAGGAAATTTCTTTTATATTTTATTTAAATCATTGAGAATTGCAGACAATTTTCATTAAAGATTTCTTTTCTTAAATAAATTCTAAGCATTTTGATGATCAACTGGATCAGCAGTAAACTTACAAACCCTTACACAAGATCCATTTTGATGACGTTTGTAACCAGATCGACACCAACACCTAGAAAATAGAGAAAAATATTAAAAGGATTGAAATTTCTAAAGTTATTTAATTATATTTACCTCCAAGTACATGGCGGTGTTCCACAATATCCCAAACCATCGCATCTCAATTCTCCAAAAGCACAGGTAAAAATTTCATTTTCATCGAAACATTCTTTCGGTTCTGGTGGTGGATATGCAATCGGTCCAATGTAGCAAGCCTTACCGCCTTGATTTTCGGATTCGACAACTTCTTTGGTAAAAGAAACCGTGAACACTTGCAAAAGGAAGAAAATCAAAAGTTTCATAGCGTTTGGGAATTTATTTTGTCAGTCACTTTATTACTTAATATCACAAATGATACTAACCAATAATACAACTGAAACTTGTTATTTAAAACCATCCGTTGATCAAGACGTTTAAACATCGAATTGTCGAAGCATTGAAGTGAAAACGCCTTCAGCAGATGTTTTTATTAAAATGTTTTGGTGGTGGAAATGTTTGGCAATTGAAGGATCTTCTTCACTATTTTTATAATTAATAAAACATTATTTTAAATTGTAATAAATTTGATTTTTATTTCGTGAGATCGAAAAAACATTGCACAATTGTCTTTTATAAGCGATAAGGGATGATAACGATGAAAGTTATCACGAAATGTGAGATAATATCCTAATAAGGAAAATACTGGTGATTTGCGAAATGTTATCAGAACTTTGTCATAACGTTCGACTTGCGATATGCATTGATAAAACTTCTTCAAAGCTTAAAGCGAAAAAAACAGAATTTTCTAATAAATAATAACAAAGATAAATTTTTGTGCCTAATAAAAAGTTAATATGAGCATCTGACGTTCTTCTCGCGAATGGATTTAAGAGAGACATAAAATAAATTACAATTAAATCCATTCTGAGTGAGATCAGTTTTCTGTCATTTCTTCGGGATCATCGTCGAATGTTTGAGGTGGATGTGGCGATGGAATGACATCATCCGTTGCATACAAGATGCTTCCATCAAGCTTCTTAACACATGTTATGAATGTCTTGCAATAAAAACATAACTTGACACTCATCAAATGTTGAATGATGCACGAATGACAAGATTGATGTAAACATGGCTCGAAAATTGAATCTGAACGTTGAATTAAAAATTAATTTGGAATTTAATTCAATTAAATAAATCTCACCATTTTGTTGAGCATAGCAGATTGGACAAAGAGCGTCTTCCGATATTAGTGTCGTTTCAGACAACAAAGATTGACGCATTTGTAAGCATTCAATGAGCTTTTTCACTTTCTCGATTTCATCTGAGTTAACATGAGTCATATCTGAAAGTTTTATTAATTAAAATGGATTTTCAAACTTCAATTTTAAATCCTTACAATCGCTGAGTTTAAATTTTAAAATTGGTGGATCATGTTTCATAGTTTTCTCATGAAGAAGTCGATGTGACGGCGTTTTACGTATTTCGTTCGCAATCGGATCAACAAATCGATTAAGTTTCGGATCAAAGTTTCCCCTCGGTTGATCTGATGGCATTAAAATTGTCGATTTGATTTCACCCAAAGCAAATTCTAAGCAAGCAATTTGAAAGCTTGAGTCGGTGAGAATGTTACGCGATACTTTCGGCAACTTAGCGAAAGATCCATCAAAATTCATCTCGTCAGACATTAAACCAAGAAGAATTCCTAAAGCAGCTGTAAGAATGGCAAAATGTGTTACTCCAGTCAAGTCAGGCAAGCAAAGATCGATGACAAATTGAAAACATGAAGGCGGAACTGTCACTCTCGACAGAACTTGAATAATTAATTGACAAACTCTTCCCAACAAATTGTCACTGTTTGGTCGTGATGAATCTTTAAAAATGTCTGGCGCAATCGTCACAATCATTTCAAGTGCTCGCATCAATGAAATTGTCAAGTCAAAGCACATCGAGCAGATTTTTAATTGTTTCGGATCAGGAAGTGGCGCTTGATTGTCCCTTTGCAGTAAATTTTCAATGTCTTGAAGAATGTGAATAAACTCTGAGAACGCCCAATTCAATTGAGTTAATAATGAATTTAGAAATCCCGTGCTGTAAGCTTCGTCTTCAATCAACACTTGACTTATCAATTGTTGAAAATGTTTACTCGGACATGCTGGTGCAATCAAATGAAGCAATCCTGTGTGTGAGCTGTTCTTCTGTCGACCACGAGCTAGTGCAAGTGTCGCAACTGTTTGATTAGAATCTTGGAAGATGCAAGGCTGACGTGGATCACGAAAAGCAAAACCTTCGCCAAGCCAAAATCGCAACATTATCCAATTGCTTTGTCCCCACGCACGATTCTCATATTTCCTTAACAAAGCTCGCACTAAAAGCAATTGCGATTCCTTCGAACACTTTTCCAACGCTTTCACACCAGCCTCATGGCATGTCAAAGTTCCAAGAGCTTGAATTAATGCGTCTTTACATGAAGCAATGATAACTCTTGAATCAGCAAGATGTGAACTTAAAAATTCAGAAGCGAGAGCTATCAAATCTTTGTCTTGCTGCAAATCATGTTGAATTCCTGAATCATGAAAACTGAAATCCAAAATTGTGTCCAAAAGCAATGGCAAAGCAGTGACGTAACTTTCTGGCACAAATGAAAACAAATCGCCAGATTTTGATGATTCTGTTAATGTTTTGAAGACACATCCAGTCAACCAACAAAGAAGATTACGTCGTTGAGTTCCAAGTGCTACTGAACGATACCATGCTTGCTTCCTTGCAAGTTCAATCGAACGTTTCTTTAAGAAAAGAAGAATTAAATTATTGAATTTAAAAATAAAAGAAAAACTCACAGCGAAAATATTTTTCCTTTCAAGAAATCTTTCTGATAAATCTCTGAGAACTTCGTCATGTGCCGAGCTGACACCTTCAATAGAATTCTTAAATTCTTCAAGATTCTTCAACACTTCATCACGACAATGTTTTGTTTCCATGAGAATGTTTGATAAATGAGAAATGTTGTCTCGTAAGTCAGCAATCATCACGACATATTTGTAAGCAACGCTGTGGTAAAACATGATGGAACAATCGATGATCTCGCAAATTGATTTGTGATTTTCAACATTCCCTGAAGTCACTGGAATTTCGTCATGATTCGTATCGTTGAGCATGTTACGGACGAGTGAAAATGTCCCCGTGCCATTATTTGATACAAGAAACATTGTCGAGTAAATATCACGTAGAAAAGTTGTGCTTTCTTGAGGCTGAACAATTGGCTCGTGATCGTCACCAAGAGCGTCTTGAAGTTCCTTCTTAAAAACTTTATTAAGATGTGATAAAACGCCACCAACACGATCACTTGAACCATAGTTGAAAGATCCATCGTAGAAGAATGTTTGATTAACAACAAGATACTCATCGTTGGTCATTTCATCGTCATGCATTTGTTTTGCAATGTCCAGAAGGATGCAAAGAAGTGAAAGTCCAATAGCTGGTTGCGTGGTTGTGTTGAAAGATGCCTTTAATAAATTTATTTTCTTTTACATTTAAAAAGTTTTGAAACAAAATAAAATTTTTAACTTACCGATAAATTGTCTAATGTGAAACTTCTAAATCGATTCATGAAAATCTTCCTGCTTGATGGCGAATCTTCAGTTCCATCGTTGTTGTTTAACAAAGTTAAAATTAACTTCTTTTGTAAGTAATACAAAATCGATGTGTAAGATTTCAACTTTTCACAAGCTTTCAAATAAATTTCTTTACTGCCGCCGAGACCTTCTGTCCAAATGGAATCATCAGGAAGCAACAGTTCCAAGGTCGACTCATCAGGTGGTTTGATATAAAGAAATAGAGGCAGACAATTCTTTTTAAAGAATTTAAATTCGAGGAAATATTTTCGTGTTTGAATGTGATTGCATAAACATGTCAAGATGACGATAATTTTACGTTGATTTTCGTATTCAAGATCTGTCGGTGTTTCTTTAAAAGTGTTTGAGAGATAGTTTAGCAAACGTTTAAGAAAGATTTTCACTTCGAATTCTTCCAAGTTTGTCCATAATAACGAGAGAAATGCTTCGAGAGTGCTTCCAGGTTCTCCTGGTTGAATGAGAGAATCGCTTGTGCTTTTTAGCACACACAAGTTCCTAATAATCTTCACGACCTTCTCTTCAACAATATATGCGTTCATTAACAGCGATACAAGTCGTTCAACGAGCGCATTTGCCACGAGCATGATAAATGAATCGATTGTGATGTCTGAAGATGATTTTGGCACGGGATTCTTTTGATTCGAGCTGATGAGACGTGCGACATTCACGAAATATTCCAACAAAAGATCTGCTTGATAGAGCAGTTTATTGGGAGGATTTTGTAGAGGTTTGTAGCCTGGAATGGGATATCTAAATGGAGAACCTCCGAAGTTGGCAGTGAGCGAGTCATTGAACGCAAGGGAAACTGCTGGAAAGAGTGAAAATCCTGGACCTCTTTCAATATCCTCAAATGCCAATCCCAAAGCAACTCCATTGCGATAATATTCAATGGTTCCTTTGTCCATATCGAGACAGACACCAAAGATGTCACCAGATCTCCAATAGGACGTTCCATAGTTCTTTGTGTAAACATGCCACAGACGTTTCTTCGATCCATCGAGACCATAACTGTGTTTAGTATCTCCAACACCAGTATCCTGTGTAAAACGACATTGTGAACTACAAAATCCAATTTGCATCACACCTTTTGACTTCAATTGCACCTCATACATGAAACGTCCCGCAAACACACAAGCATTTGCTTTGAGAGTGGAAAAAGCAGATTGTGAATGTAAACTTAGTTTATCCTTTGATAACTTAACGAGATTCGACAGATTGTCAGTGCTTTCGGTGTCCCACACTACACTTTTCGCAGGACAAATTATTTGATTCTCGTTGATTTGATTGAGAGATTCGTCTGGATCTTTGAAGTTTTCCAATTTATTGTCGAGGAAAACGTTAACCATCTCCAGACATGTCATAAAGTCGCTCGTTGATTCATCCACAAAGGGAAAACTAAATACATTCGACAATACTCGACAATAATTCATTATTTTAGTTAAATTAACACTAGAATTCCGAAACTAAATCATTGCAGAAAATTTTTTCACTAAAGCTCAGTAACAGCAACAAACTAAACGCACACAAAGAAATTTTCTGAAAATCTGAACATTCTAAACGCACTCAAATGTAAACAAAAACATTGAGCATGCTGTTTCTTCTTCTTCTTCTTCTTCATAATTTATTAATGGTTGGGAGATTTCGTTAGGATTTTTCTTCTCACTTTTATATATATTAAATTGACACTAAAATAAAATGTCTGATAAACTAGAAGCATAAAAAACTATAAACGGTTAAAGTAGTTCCATCTTTTACGTCAATTATTCTTAGGTAAGGAAACATCTTAAAAGCTTTTAAAAGCTTTAAAATAAAAATTACTCTTTGATGATACTGATGTTGATAAGCTCAACTTATTTGCTTTCTTTTCTTGGAATATATTCATATGTGCATTAAATCAGTAGATAGACATTTTAAATCGTAGCATCTTTAATTTGTCAAAACTCTGTAATATAATAAATTGGCTTTGAATTCTCTAATTAGGTATATAAATTTTTTGTTTTGAATTAAAAGTCATGAATGAATATTGTTTGTGATAAAAGCTTTCACCACAATTCATCATCTTTTGAATTTTCCTCCAATTCCTCCGCCTGGTTTCTAAACGTACTCCTAAAGTAAACTAAACATACCCAAAAGTAAACAATCAATCCGGTAAAATTTCTTTGTTTACAAAAAAGATTTCAATGAATTAATAATCTAAAATACATCAAATGTATAGCTGCACCTTATTAGTGTATGTCGGTAGAAAGTTTAAGATGACAGAATTCTGCAAGATTGGAATGAATTTGAATTTAAAAACTTCAAGAATTCATTTGTGAGTATTTTTCTATGGAATTTTTTCCCTTAGCATTAAAAATGATACAAAATTTCTTTTATATTATTAAATGTCTTGTTCTTCAATTTTTTTAAGGGCTAAGAATTCTTTCATTACCATCAAAGCTTTGGTTCATTGACGAGAATTTTATGAGATTTTCCCAAAAAGAATCTCTCGAAAGTTGAAGGATCTTCTACAAGAAATAGTTGGGATTGAATCTATTACAATAAGATCTTTATTAGAATATGGAACTTAATTCATCGAATAATGCTATAGATCCACAAAGTTTAAATATCCACGATGCGCATCGTATAATTTTGCTGATGTAGCAATGAACTTGAAAATAATAAAACATTGATATGTTTTCAAACTACATAAGTTCAAAAAAATTTTGTCAGCACTTTTCTGTGTCTATAAAATGTGACGTGCTTCTAAGAAATGATTAGTTGACTGCCAGCACTTACAGTCATGCTGTTAAATTTCGTGAAATTTTTCTTATTAACGACATTTGCTTCGCAACTTGATGGAGCTTGCGATACATCGAATCAATTACTCCAAGAATTAACATTTCAATTAAGTGGGTCGAGTTTGCAATGGCCTTGCCAATCAACCAAGAATATTTACATTCATTCTGGACGATTCACACCGAAAAACGTTATCATGACTCGTGCTCAAATCTACAGAGATGAAGCTTACGTGACTCTTCCTCGTTTGAAAGCTGGAGTGCCATTTACCTTAGGAAAAATTTCCATGAAACGTGGCCAGTGTTCGCCAGCTATTCTTCCATTTCCTTGCTGGAGTTTGCAAGAAGAAGGAAACTGTCAAGCACTTCAATCAGCTATCGATATTTTTCTTGATCCAAATGACATTATGTGGGTTCTTGATGTTGGTTTAGTTAACACTCTTGAAAGCCCAGTTCGACGATGTCCACCAAAAGTTATTGGAATTAATATCAAAACAGGAAGAGTTGTCAAAAGCATTGATTTGGATAATGTTGTTGTGCGAAGTTCACGACTTCAATATCTTGTTGCTGAATATGATGAGAATGGCAATTGTTTCATGTGAGTAGACTTAAATTTTTTAATTTAACTTGTTTCTTAAATAAACTTCATTTTCTAAAGTTACGTTGCTGATGCTGGAAGTCGTGCAATTCTTGTATTGGATGTACAAAAAAATAAAAACTTCCGAGTTGTTCTCCCAGGTGCATGCGGTTCAATTAATAGTTCACCAGATGTTTTGTACATTGTTTTATTACGAAAAACTTGTGGAACGTATCTTTACTTCACTTATCTGAAATCTACGCGACTTTTTTCAATTAAAACCGAACATTTGAGAAAAGGTGCTGGTTCAGGTGCTGTTGTCGATGTTGGTCCAAAACCGCAAGGTCTTCAAATGGTTTTACTCGGAACAGACAATAAATCGGGACTTTTCCTTCGCTATAAAGGACAATCTGATATCTATATGTGGGATGCTGAATCTTGTTTCAAAGCTGGAAATTTCATTGAAGTTCAAAGTGGTGGTGATTGTCGTTTGTCTACTCAAGTCATGCCTGGTTTCAGACGTCATATGTGGACAATCGAAAGTAATTTCCAAGATTACATAGCAGATAATCTCGGATGTATGGGAGCCAACGTAGTTATTCATCCTGTTATCAAAAATAAAGAATAGATAAATGTTGATTATTTTTTCTTCTATTTCAATTTCAAATGTTATAATAAAAAATAATTTTTGTGATCTTTAAAACTTGATTCAGTTAAAACTTGAAAGCATTGCGGAAGAAATTGTCCCACAACAAATCTTCAATATTCGTCTCACGTCATCAATAGCAACATGTTCTCCTTCGCTACATCACCAGGTAAGCTACTTACGAATGTGATCAGAGAACAATTTGTGTTCTATTTTTAATGAGACTTCATGTGGGTTTGTAAATTCGATGTTTAGTTTATGAGTTTAACAGAAACCTTCTAGTTGTTGGGGTTACAATACCTGAAAAGCAAATAATCAATAATAAAAGAACATAAAATTAAATAAACATTTTGATATGAAAAAAAAAAACATTTTCGATTGTTTTGTCTGAAAACCGGTTATTTGCATCATTAAACTTCATCTCCGATGTCAACAACTCCAGATGTGATTCGTAAGTTACGCTCTCCAAAATTATATCCAATTCTCTTCATTTTTGTAGTTAATTTTACTACATTGACTTCTTGAAAAGAAGTGAAATAAAAGTTTCAGCTAAATATTCATCAGTCGTTCTCGCGTGCTTACTCGTAAACAACATAAAACGTTCGCGATCGTGAGTTTCGCTTGAGGTTTGTTGCTCATTTTTTCTTCATTTCATTTTTGGTGAATGACTCGAAGAAGGAAAGGAAATCTTTTGAGATGCTGATTGTTTATTAAATTAATCTCACTTTTAGTCGTCATGACTTCAAATGGAATTTGAACAAGATACAAAGTTTATTAATATTTTGAGGGGAAAATTCTTCTCTAATTAATTAATTATCCTTATGAAAAGCAACTTTAAATACACAGAAATTTCCACTTTGGCTTTTGTGGTGATAGCATTATTTGCATTCCTTTAATAACTTTTTAAAATTTATTGTGTGATATGAAAATATTGAAAATAAAGCAAAAGGCAGCGAATGGGAAAATGTTTTTTCCATTTGTTGACTTTAATTTTATTAAAATTAACGCCAGCTTGGACATGCATTGATAGAGATTTTTTTCAATCGACGTTTAAATGTAGCGTGATGGCAAAATGTATGAAATTTTATTTAACTCTTCGTGTATATTTTTAAACCAATGACACAATGCATGAAAGGAAAAAAGTAAAAATATTCATATCGTACAGTGGCGTCGAAGTTTTGCTATCTTTTCATTTGATTATGATTATAACATAAAGAAGAATTTTATTATTAAAGTTTCACCGGTGACTTGCATCATCATCATCATCATCGTCATAATGATTGTTGTCACTTAAACCACCCAAAGTGTCTCCTCTGTGTTCGTCTTTACATGTGTGAATATTCTTATGATGTGTTTCTCACTTCCATTTCTTACATCTCTCAAACATTTTCTGTTTTTCAATTGAACTTTAAAGATATTGTGTGAAAATTTAAAATAAAAAAAGAGAGCGAGTCGATTTATGAAGGAAAAAATATTTTTTGGATAGTTAAACATACGATTGGAACGCATTCGACTCACACCGTAATATTGTGAAGGTGGAATTGAGAAGAGAAACATTTAAAAATCATTAGACCTCAAAAGATCTTCGTACTCGTTTAAACTTTAAAGAAGCAAAGAGTCGAGTCATCTCAATTTCGATAAATTTAGAAAAAAAGAGCGAGAAAAATATTTTTTTATGAATATTTTTGGCTTCATGGATATTGTCATTCTCAGTTTGTTGGATCGCGATCGGCAATAACATGTGACTGTGCATTTTTGGAGAAGGGAAAGGAATAAAAATAATTAAATTTAATTTGATAATTAATGAAGAGTTTTAAAGCAAAGAAAAGAAATGATGCAATATGTGTTGATTAATTAAGCAAATATTTGTTAGTAGGAGTTGAAAGAAATGAAGAAGATTTAAAAATAAATTATCAAAAGAAAAGAAAGGTGAATGAAATCATAAAGAAGAATTAAAGTGTTTCTTTACCAAAAATAAAAGTGAAATAAAATCGTGAAGTGACAACAAAACTATAAAGAATTCCATTTTGAATTCTTTTCGATATCGACTAAAAAGGTAATTTTCGCAAGGAAGAAATTTTTTGAACAAGAAAAAAGTTTGTTTTGTTGATGAATCATTTAAACGGAGATTATTTTTAACTTTTGCCGATTGGCATTGAAAGTCTCGAGATTTATAACGGGTGCGCGAGGCAGGAAAGTGCCTCATGATGATTGGATAAATGACGAGATTTCACATGAAAATAGAATCTTTATGAATCAAAAAGTAAAGAGAAGAAAAAAATTATTTGCAAAATCGAAATCATCTTCGACTCTTGTGGGTAGTAGAACATTAAGTAATCAGAACAAAAATCAAAAGAATTACAAAGAAAAGATTGAAGGCTGACAGAACAGCGAAAGAATTACGCGCCAAAAGAAGAACAAGGCAAGACTAAAATAACATAAAGTTACCTTGAAATTGATTTCCGTTTAATCGAGTAGAGAACAAAAAGGCTGAAACAAAAAACTTTTAAAGCAAATAGTGAAAGTAATGAACAATACAAAAAAGGAGAAAAAAAGTTCAACACTCGAATTGCTTTCAATGTCGAATAAGATTAACGTTCTTCAGAATCGTAAAACAACACGCTGACTCATTTTAATCGCGAAATAAATGATTTGGCCGAAAATTAAGACAAAAATTAAAGCCCCACACAGCTAGTCGGTGTCGCAGACATTCCACGCTCATTCAAAGATTTGTTATTTTCAAGCAAGTTTCCTTGTACGGTATGTACACAAACTCTGCCGGAGGCAGCAAACGAAATGAGTTGAAGCGATAAAAGAAACAAGAAGAACTTTCCGCACAATGCTTTTGCTATTTTAAACCAATTTAAATGAAATTAATTTTTTTTCTTTTTCTTTAATAATGTCCACAATTTTCTGCTCAAAATGGAAGTAATTCGATGAACTTGTTATCGCCCTACTCATCCATATCAAGCAATTGCATTACAATAAAAAACTTTTGTTCTCTATCATGTGACAAATCGAAATGGAAAATCTTTGATTCTTAATCAATAAATCTCATTGTGTTAAGACTGTATAATTAATTGATTGTTTAAATATGAAATATTTGCAATGACAGACAAACAAATATTCACTTGAGGTCATTACGCTTACATTGTTGACTTGACTTTTTGTAAGCAAACTAAAAAGTTTAAGCGCATGAAGGTTTAATTGTCGGAATAAAGATGTTCCGCCTTTAACTTGTTGCACTTTGAATATTCAAATATTTCGTTGTTACAACCTCAACATAATTTACCTCAATCAAGACTTTCATGATAAGTAAAACCAACAATCTTTCAGTGAACAACATTAACAGCTTTATTTGGCACATCAAAACGTGCCATATTATTAAACTAATTAATCATCAGTCAAGCTTCTTACTTTCTCTCTTTCATAAAAGTTAAGTTCCAGTTGAAAGGTAAAATAAGTAGAAAAAAGAAAAAAAAATTAAAATTTGTATGCGAGAAACGTTGGCAAAGAAATTTCCTTAAAAAATCCATAAATCAAGCTTGAACATGGACAGTGAAAAAGGCAAGAAAAAATCTCGCGAGAGTCCCATGAGCTCGGATGATGTTGGAGCAGGTTTTTCCACCTTTTTTATGACATGGATAAGAGTTTGGTGCGAAGGTAAAGAAATCTCTCGTTTCAATGTTTCTGCTTTGTGTTCGTTTTTTAGTTGAAAAATACGTTAAGTGCGGGGGAGTTCGAACTCGTTTCCACTTCCACTTTTCACGATCAAAATTCTTCACAAAAAAAAAAGTTTTCTCAAGGTCGGAAAATGAAGGAAAAAATTATTTCCATGATTTCCACAACCTTGTCATCGGCTGAATGTTGTTAATTGAAATCTCACAGATGTTCTCGAAAAGCAATCACAAGATATTTTTAATATTTCACTACACACTTAGATAATTAGCAAAACTATTCTTAAAATGTTTTGTGGAAATTGACGATGTTTTGTGATGGGAAGTGAAAAAATTATTTGCGTGCCAAATAAAAATTCACAGCAAGACGACATCGTCACTTTCGGGTGTGTGCGGATTGGTGACCCGCGATTGCTTTTTCCTTCCTACGTTCACTGATGTTTTTCTTCGAGAAATTTCTTTTTCTTCGTAAGAATTTAAAAATATTTTTTGAGTTTCTCAATGAAGATTTAGATCAGACAACTTAAGTGTTTTTGTATTTAATTCTTCTCAAATTATATGATACAAACCTGTTAAAAATCTCGACAAAAACCAGCAATGAACGTGCTCAATTTCACACAATCATTGCTGTCAAAAACAGAAAGTCATTCATTGTGAAACTGATTCAAAGGGTGAAGGAAAAGATTCAACTTCAACCCTTTCCACATCAATCTCTTCCGATTCTGATTTCCAGATGTAGCAAATTAATTATCAGAATAAAATCTTTCAGCTTTCTTCTCTCTTCCAACTCGATACGTAATAAATCAAAACTAATTTCTGTGTGAAATTTCTAATTAAACTATAATTAATTTTTTCTTCTTCCATCATCATGTGATGAGCATGTGGGAAGATTAAAAAAGATAAATAAGATTTTCAGCTTTGGTAAATGACGATAAAGCATACAAATTTATCTGCTGCATGTTTGATTAGGTCGAATGATGATTAAAAGGTCATCATTTCATGACAATGCGTTCATTCGATGTTCATATTGCCATTCAACTTGATGTTCAGTTCTTCTTCATCTCTTTCTCCATTTGCGTTCCATTTTTCAATTACGTTGCGCTTCAATAACAAGCAAATCAATTAAAATAATCATTTGGATATGGGAATGGAGTGAGTGGTGTGATTGTTCAATTGTTATCGAAACGACGTTCATAAATTCATGCATATAATGACAACGTCTGAATTTTCAATTTGTCGCTGATAAATTTTCAGTTGAGTTGAAATTAACTCTCAAATCAGGCGATATTTAATATTGTTGGATGATGAGACTGAACACATGAAAATTACACGTATGACTTCACTTAATCACACAACAAATTGTCTACTAGAAAATTTAAAATATGAACACAATTTTAGGCTCAATTGAGCTCGTAAATCATTTATGCAATATTTTTGGATGTTTATTGGATTCCAACATGATCTTCGTCGTTCTTTACGAAGGATTTTGACGCCTTTACGACAATTTCAATAATTTTTACGATGCACTTGACATTTTCAAATTCACATTGCGTGGGATGGCAGAAAGCGACCATCAACAGATTCAACAGCAGCAGTTGTGAACGAGCGATTTACGACGATATAGAAATGTCATAAAATGTTAAGATGATGGGATATGTCGTTGACTCATGAGACGTCTTTTGGAACAAATTCCTTTCATTCATCTCTCCAACATCGTACCATGACAAACAGAACAGAACAAATTGATGTAAACAAGAACGGTTTTATATATATTAAAAAATACTTCACATATTGATGCTGCTCGCTGTTTTACATTAAAAAACGCTTTCGGAATTCAATTCAATCAAAATACTAGAACGAAGAAAGAAAAATAAAAACATCATGGAAAGTCATAAAAATGAAAAATTTGCAAGGATTTTAAATTGAATTGAAAATCAATTATTGATGAATGTATTTGTTGCATGCTTTTGCTTTTTCGTGCATTTAACTTTGATTGAGTTAAGTTTAGGAAAAAGAATTTTTACGACATGAAAAATAATTTCGAAATTTTCTTGACAATTTCTTTTGCATTCGTGCTTGTAAGGCTGAATTGTCGACTTGATATCGTGAGGTTTTAAATAAATGTTCATACATTGTTTCTAGGTTGTTTAAACAATCATTGATCCCGTTTCTCAAAGTCAAAATAGATTTAAATATTCACATAATTCTCATACGGTCTAATTAAATTGACAAGGAAAATCAGTCGTTTAACAATAAATTGGATTTGTTCACTTTTTACTACATTTTAAATTTTTGCAACATGATTTTACATGCGTAAGCATCAAATCTCATTCTCCGATATAAAATTATGAATTGTGAATTTTTAAACTTCTCATTTTATTTCTTTTCTTCTGTCAGTGAGTTATTAAATCCACGATATTCATTTTCGATCACGTTTTGTCCTATTTCTGTGCCTATGTCGTTTTTGTGCGATTGAATGCCATTTTAAGCTTAAATAAAACTCTCGTTTGTTCTGCTGAAACTTTTTTCCTGAAGCTTGTGTTTGGCATGCAAAAGAGCGCTCTCGTCATTTATTTTCTGCTCTCATTTTTCTCGTTTTGGGTTGTTCGACTCGTGGGTGGCATTTTAGAGAAGACAAAGAAGAAACGGATTTCTATTCATTGGATTCTTATTCTTAAAATTTTAAGCCGTTCTTATTCAATTCAATGATTAATTAGCATATTCTTCCAAATTGCTGTTTTTTTTTTTTCATCTTCATCATAAAGCGTCAAATGAAAAGTTGAGAGAAATCTTTTATGAACAGCCGACGACGACGACTAAAAAGTTTTTTAAAGTCAAAATATTTCTCCCGTTCGCTTCTTATTTTCAATATTTTTAATGTTGCTTTTGGAAGTCTTCCAATGTCTGTTCATTGCGTTTGTTCCGCAATTTGGCTTCTTCGTTAGCGAAAATCTTTTGAAAGTCTGTTTATGGTGTTAAGACGTTCACTACTGTGTGGAGCTTCAACATAGACTCAACTGGCACTTCCTTGTTATCATGTTGACACTTCAAAGTTCAAGTGCAGGAGTGAAAAAAACTTGACTCTGCGCTATGTGTCGCTAGAAGATGTCATCATTATTTTTTGCCTGCATTCGTCGGTGCCTGAAAGTGGCAAAAGAAAACTTAATTTCGTGTTAACGTCGTAAAAAGCTTTTACATGTTTTCTGTTCTGAATTTTTTGCTTTTCTTCCCCTTAAAACCTCCCGTTGGCAGAGAAAACAATTTGCACAACATTTGTTAAAAGTAAATTAAGAAAAGTACAATCTGCCAACTGTCTAGAAGTTGCGCGAAACAGAACGATGGAAGAAATGACTTGAAAGATTTTTTAGATTAATAAAATGTAAACTCTTAACAAGAATGTAAAACTCCATACATGAATTTTTAATTTGATATTCTTTTCTGACGTAACATTCTTTACATTATTAATAAATATTCAAGTTTGCAACATTCCCCAAAGTATTTAAAAAATATTTTCACTAGAAAATCTTCTCCCAAAGAAAACTCGTCGTTGGATTCGACAATAAAAACAACAGTGAGAATAAAAAATCACGTACACCAATTTAAGCTTTTTGAATGCCAATTGCAAGAGAATGAAGTAAAATAATCGCAATAATCATGAATATAAAAGAGTTGAGAGTATCGCAATTGTGCCTTCGTGTGCCATTTCATTTTCTGTCTGCTTCTCGTTCCAAAACGCAAAGATTTTTCTTTATTCAGCAAATAAATTTTTAATGTCACCCCAGACACTGTGAAAGCAATTTGCACGATGCCAAATTCAAACTCATAATTGCTCACGTTGCAACTTAAAAATAATTTTTGAATGAAAGTCATAATTACGCTATGCGATGCCCTCGGTTTCGCGAGTGATCCTTAAAATGGCAAATGATGGAGGAAAATGTTGTTGTTTCTTAGGAGTAAAGTGGCTGCGAAACTACTTGAGACGATTGCAGATTTCGTTTTGTACTTTCATTCGTAAAAAGTCTCACGAGACTTTCACGAGAACATGGCGAGCTTGTAACATTCCCAGCGAGGTCGTAAAACGTTTTTACGTTTTTTTTCGCAGCACCAGATTTCGTTGTGAACTTCTCAACTCGTAAATCATCGCAAGAAATATTTTTTCTAGTGTTTGAAGGTTTCCCTCGTCTTTCTTTCCTTCTGCGGCTTTACTAAAATCCAAGGTAAAAGAAAAAAATTCCGTATGAAGTGATTGGAAAATTTTCACCGCAAACTTTTCTATAAAAATTATTCCTTAAGGCAATTTATCTTCATAAAAGTGCTACGTGAGTAATTTGCTCATGTTGAGCGTGTACACTTCAATTATTAATTATTAACGTCATTTTATCGCTACAGGACGTTAGGAGATTGTTTGAAAATAATGTCACATTTAAACTTTTAATAATCTTTCTGACTTAAACAATCTTTAATGTACCTAAGTTGAGAACAAACTCCACAGCAAAGCTTGGATGAAGGTTTTATCAAAGATTAAGAAAAGAAAATGTTTGAGAGTAAACTTTACTCATCTTTTCATAGTTTTTTCTTTCTGATTTCCCTTAACTTGTTTGAGGTTTTTCTTTTAAGCAGTTTATCTTATTTTCTTGGTAATTTGGATGTCAGAAAGTTTTTCTTTTCAACTACTTTTATCCTTTTATATTTAATAAAAAAAATCTTTTTCTTCGACTTTGATTTGTGCTTTTTATTCAATGGCAAGAGAAGGCGAAGGTTATAAAAGAAAACTAGAAATTGACATAATTAAGATCAAGTTCGTGATTATTCAATGTTCAAGAACTTTTCAGAAGAAATGTTAATTATTTTTGAATTGCTTCGCAATTAAGTTTGAGTGATTGTTTAACTTAGATTAAATGGAAAATATTTGTTAAAATTGAAAACTTCATGCATATCAACCAATTAAATTGCATGCAACTGTTATAAGACACGAAGGAATCAAATTATCACAAGTCAATTTGAGTTAAATGATGCTCAATTGTCGAATGTCTTTTCACGTTTGAATTGGCTGAATAAATTTGTTATTTAAATGACATGTCGAAGGAAATTTCGGTGAATTTTCCAACCGATTCTCGTCCTGAACTTTGGCGTAAATTCAAAAAATCAATTTGTCGCTAGCTTTTTAATTTTCTGAACTATTAGGGGATCAGTAGAGACAACAATCAAGCAACGAACAATAAAAAATCAGAAACTATAATGGAGACGTTTGATGGTAATCGAAATTGAAATAGATCCGTTGTCCGATCGATTATTGTAAAATGAAAGTAATTAAGAACGATTCGCTTCTTTTTTAATGACGAGGTCGATCAAGTGGTTTAATGGAACGCTTTCCTAACGTTTAATTTAATTTATTTAATTTGATGGAACTACAGATTTTGTGAGTTTGATTTGTTCGTAGTCTACGAGTGGCAATTGATAGCAAAAATTAATGTGAATGCTTGTTTGAATTAGCGTTAAGTTTCACTGACTTAATACTCAAAGATTACAAAACAAATTTTTTGTTGATTGCTTTCTACGAGGTTTCAATGTCACTGCCTTCACTAAATGAGTTTATATGACAACAACACATGGGTGTAGTCTAAAGTGCAAACAAAAGTAGAATGAAGTTCATTAAATTTCAAAAGCAAACAATATTAATGACGAGTCATTACCGCGACTTCGAGGTTTTATTTTCGGTTTTCGGGTCTCTCGAGTTTATCAACTTAAAATATTTGTCACATGAAAAAAGAAATAATAAAAAGCTTTTTAAAAGTGCCAACAAAAATAAAGGAGCTTCCTTCGTTAACATTCTTGTTGTTTCCGTAAAAGTTGACAACTTTTCTGTTGATTTCTTAATTGAAAATGTTTGACCTAATTTCTTTTATCAACATCGAGACACTGCACAACAAATTTAGCTTGACGATGCAAAACTTTTATTTGTTTACATTTCTCACAATTTGTTACTTTAATTGTTAATTTATCGTAAGAAGATGAAAACAAATTTGTGTCGAGAAATTTTGTGTACAATTTGAATTTATTTATTTTTTATTGTTTTGTCTTTACATTTTTTTCCTTTAAGCACGCTTAAGCTTGAGGGAAAAGTAGCGAAGATAACTTAGTTTAGTTTGAAGTAAATAAAAAAACACAAAGTTGTAACTAATGGAATTTTAGAAGTTTTCAAGAATTCAAATTCACTTTAGAAACGTTTTAAAAGTTTTGGTAACAGTGTTGCCGTAGAAGTTTTATTTAAAGCCAAAAGGGTTACAAATCCTGATTAATTTCTCCAACTGTTGCTATTGCTTTTAACAATTTATTCTTTTTTCATGCTTCCTTTTTATAATATTTTTATTTATGAAAATTTTATGAGAATCAAGAAGGTATTTTCACGTTATCTATTTATAAAGCTACTCGGAAAATCGAATGAAAATTCGTTCTTTTTTTCTCGATTTATATTTAGACAGCGAAAATAAAAATGTTATTTTTAATGCTTGTTTCATCATCATGAATGCGATTTTTACATGTGGGAAAATATGAGACACGCGTTAGTGTCGGTGAGAAATTATTCTCTCGAATATTTTTTCTTGTTGGGGAATTTCTGTTGTATAGACATCTAATTATTTTAGTTTCATTCAAGGAGAGAAGAATAAAAATTGAGTAAGTTAAAGGTGAACTCTCCATCGCAGTTTATTTTTCTACGTTCGACTTTAATCGCCAAACAATTCACCTTTTAGTGATAAAGGAATTTAATCTTTCGTTTAATCATCAAGTTTACATTAGAAAGAAGGAAGAAAGAAGTTGAATCAAAATCAAGGTGAAATAAATCGATAAATTAAAATTGAAAGTCTTTGATGATTGTTGATTTATTCGAGTTGAATCAACCAGTGAACGGTTTAAAGACTTATACAACTTTAACTTCATAAAAATAAATTTTCGACGCCCAAAGTGACAAAATTTTTGGGTGCGCGATTTACGTTAATGATTGTGACGTCGTCGTAGATAAATTTAATGAAAATGGAAAGCGGCAAGTGAGATGACGATTTTTCCTTGGATTATCATTGTGGCAGATGAAAAACTTTTCTTTTTCTCTTTACTTAAACGCTTGATGTTCCCGAAAATGTTGCAAAACCCATCAGGTGTACATTATGTTTATTGAAACGCAGATGGGACATCTTTTTTTATTTTCCTTTTCACTTTCAAAGGTAGATAAAAATTGGCGCTAAACGGAGCCAAGAAAAGAAAAGTAAACAAAAGTGAAAGACCTTCTTTTGTGAGAATTACGATTAATCAAATGTGACGTAATCTCTGGTAGGAAGAATGAATGACTATTCAGAAATACTTAAGCAGCGACCTGAGGGAAAGCGAGCACCGGGAAAGAAGGGAAAAAGCTTGTAGAGGCAGAAACAAAAAACATTATTTTGCAAATTTACGCTAAAATGTTGTGAATCGTAATAATCTCTGCCCTCACTTGAACGCTTGAAGGCATTTTGAAAGCAAGAATTTTGTAGCGGTATTTGATTAATATGCCAGAATATCTTCCGAAAAAGGAAAATCTTGAAGATGGCGTTTAAATAAAAATAAGAAAGTTTTCAAAGTTCGTCACTGTCAGATCCATTGGATGGGAGAAGAAAATCATTTTCCATATCAAAATTCTCGCAGACTTTTAGCAGATCATTAAAAATTAAACGTCAAGATTAAAGTTGTTAAGACGAGCGCGAGAGTGTTTGTTAAACGTTTTTATCACGCATAAATTTTTCATTGTTCGCTTAAAATATTTGAGAATGAAGATTTTCGAGTGGAATCATGTTTACGATTATGATTCTGTCGTTAGAGGGTTGAAAGAGATTACATTCATTTTAACACAGCATTGGATACGACATAAAGAAGGGACTTAAAACATTAGAAAGGCTTTTTTCGCGTCCCTGCTTTCTTCCATTTGCCTCGTCAATTAAAAAGTCACTGACGATGAAATAGCGAAGAACGAGAATAACTTCGAACAACACAAAAAAAAATATCATCGCCCCATTTTCATCGAAATATATTTGGAATCTCAGAATTAAGTATCCTAAGATATTAAATTATGCAAAGTGAAATGACTTTGCTGTGGAAAACTTTCCCCTTTTTGCAATTGAAGTGAGATTAACGTTTGAAGATATTTCTCGTTTTGAAAGCTCAAGAAAAAAAGAAAACATTAAACATGGGAATTAATTTGTTTTTTCTTTTGACGTATAAAAGATGATTTTAAGCTCAGAAATATATCAAAAAGAATTTTTTTTACTTTAACATTACTTCAGAGTCAGCTGAAAAGTTTTATGATAAGAAAGTCTCAGTCTAATGATCAACAGCACATGACATGTTGGAAAATGTTATTACAACATAACTTTTATAAGTTAAGAATTCTCGTCTCTGCCATAAACATGAAAAATTCTCCTCAATTATTTACAGAAAATCTTGAAGATTCAAAACATTTAGAAAGGGAATTATTAGAAGAGAAACTCTTTTCATTATCGAAATCCCACATTTCATGAACTGCTGTCATAACTCATAACTTTTTCCTCTTTTCATGACTCTAGAGAAAGCAGTTAATCATCTGCGAAAAAGAGAATTAACAGAAGGGCACACGACACGAGAGTAGAAGTTTATCGACAAAGGGGAGATTGTATTGGTGCAGCAACTTCCCTTAAGCCCACGCATCAATAGAAACCAGTTTCATTCATCTTCCATTTTTGTCGAGGGTGTAACAAGCAGCATAACGAAAGAATCTTCACAATCACAATTAGACTTTTTTTTTAAACACATCAACACGAAAGAAGAAAAATAATAATGGGGAAAGATTATTATAAAACTCTGGGACTTACAAAGGGTGCCACCGACGAGGATATCAAGAAGGCGTACAGAAAATTAGCATTAAAATTTCATCCGGACAAAAACAAAGCAGCTGGTGCTGAAGAGAAGTTCAAGGAGATTGCCGAGGCGTATGAAGTGCTGAGTGATAAGAAGAAACGTGATGTTTATGACAGATATGGTGAAGATGGTTTGAAAGGAAGTAAGTGTCATTAAGAACAGAAAGAAGTTCAAGTTATTAAAATATGATTTTCTTACTCAGATAAGTCAAATGGCACCTCAAACAACAACTCAAGCTTCACATACGAGTTCCATGGTGATCCAAGAGCAACATTTGAATCATTTTTCGGAACGAGTAATCCTTTTAGCTCCTTCTTCGACTCTGATAATATTTTTGATCATCACAATAACTTGTTTTCATCAATGGGTGGTATTGATGATGATTTCTTCTCAACACCATTTGGTTTGGGTCGTTCACCGCATGGTCTTGGAACAGCATTTAGGTGAGTTAAACATGCGATGATTGTGGGGTTTTAATTAACGAATTTCCGCACACCAACTGTGACACGTTTTGTGATTTTTTTAGGTCACATTCATTTAACGTTCATACACCGCTCAAGAAAGAGAAGATTCAAGACCCGCCTGTTGAGCATGACTTGTACGTGACACTTGAGGAAATTAACAGTGGTTGTGTGAAAAAGATGAAAATCTCACGACGTGTATTGCAGCCAGATGGGACGCCGAAGAAGGAGGACAAATATGTGAGCATTTCAGTGAAGCCAGGATGGAAGTCGGGCACGAAGGTAACGTTTCAAAAAGAGGGCGATCAAACGAAAGGAAAAATACCTTCAGATATCGTGTTTATCATTCGAGACAAACCTCATCCATTGTTCAGACGCGAGGGCAGCGATCTTAGATACACTGCGCGCCTTACTCTCAAACAGGTGAGTCAAACACGTATTACGAGCGTTTCGTGTTACTGTTGACCACTTTGGGCCTTTTTCACCTCGAATCATTGTTTGTGAATGTGTGAAAGGTGAAAAAATGTTCGCAATCTTTATAAGGTAATCGAATGGTCCCATGGTGACGATGCATCATCAATGAAGGGAAAAGAAGATAAAAAGCAAATTGAGTGAATGTTTGTTGCTGGTTTTACTTATTTTATGTTCCAAGTTGTGATTTATCTGTTGTTGATGTTTAATCTTAGGGTCAAGGTAAATATTGGCAATATTGAAGAATATTTAATGTTATTCTCATATAATTCACAAATTGGCTTTAGAATTAGAAACATTCGTCATCTATTGATTACTTTAATATTTTCTGTTATGGATAACCCCTTGGTTCAATAATTCAATCTTCAATACAGAAGAGAAATATTAAATTTGTATGAGAAACGAGAGAAAACTTTTTACTTCTTCTTTCCGATCAACATCAATGACGTTAGATTTTAAGTTTCACCATTTACGGTGTCAATTTGTCTCACTCAACATGTGAAAGAAATTAAAATTGAGAGATAAAAAAAATATCTAACAGATGCATGTTGAAGTCAATTAAATTTCTTTTTTCTCGCTCGAATCTTTCTTCACATTCTTTACATTCAAGTGTTAATGGATTTTATTGCAAATTAAATTGTTCTCGTCATTACCAAGCATCACAATCATTGGCGTATTGCATTTCAATGTAGCACATGCATAGTACACATCACATAAAATCAAAACCTTAAATAATTAATAATCAAATTAATTAATTATGATATTTCAGTCATCCAAACATGCATGTAAGTGATGCTTGTGGATAATCATTAAACATCACCTGGCAACAAAATTTGTCGTGATATTTAATGAATATTATTGATTGATTGACTGTTGCCATTTTTAGATCGACATTTTGTCATTTGTTTGGTTATTTATTTTATTTATTTTGCTAATTATCAATTTCATGACAATTTGGTTAAGATTTTTGAAGGTGGAATGGTTTGAGTGACGTTACTACGCAAGATTTGATGTGACTCATTACATTATGAAAATGGAACATAAATTATAAATTTAATTTTGAGTGAATGCTTATTAAGGTCCATCCATAAAAGGAAATCCATTCTCATTACAATTGAATCGACGACAAATTATTTGATTCAATCGTAGACCATAATTTGTGGTGGAGTTTTGAAAGATTTTTGTACATTGAAACAACCACAGTAATGGTTAATAAAGTGTGAAAGGTCCTTGAATACTTGTCAATGATTTACAATCGTTGATCATGTGAAAATTAAATGATTCATATAATCTCGGCTGCTTAAATCTATCAAGTGGATACTTGAAACTTCTTCAGGGAATTTAACTTCACCTCGCAATTGAATTCCTCAACTAACTCTTCAGTATTCAATTTCATTTTATTGCATTTATTGCATAACCAGAAGCTTTTGCTATGGAAGTTATAAGGCGATTAAATAATAAATTAAAATAGGATGAGCTGAAAGTTCTGGTTAAACTTGGGGACGTTAGAGAAGCGATAAGAGTTGGAAAATGAAGCTTAAATATTACTTTTCATGTTTAATATGATAAATTACTTATCGGCTTATGAAACGATTTCATTGTATTAATAAATTATTTAATAGAAAAATATTAATCATTGGATGTTGCAGCAGGCAGCAGACGAAAATGAATGATGATTCTGTGTTGTTCGTTGCTGTGCGATATTAATGATGTCGATTAAATGAGTGAATGAAACATCGAATTGCCATTTTGTTAGTCTACATCTGTGGAAAATTATTAATTTGAAATTATGAATGTTTCAATATGTTGTTTAACAAACTTTATTTCTCTTTTCAATTTCATCTTCAGGCTCTTTGTGGTGTGATATTTGAAGTGCCGACAATCACAGGTGATAAACTGCGAATCAGTACAAAACACGAAATTATCAAACCAAATACCGTCAAGAGAATACAAGGCTACGGCCTTCCACTGCCCCGCGATCCAACCAGAAAAGGCGATCTCCTTGTCGCTTTCGATATCAAGTTTCCAAGTGCATTGACACCCACAGAGAAGGAGCTGCTTGCTGATATGTTGCCTGATGTGTGAACTTTCTTCGTCAATTTTCTTTTTATTTCATTTAAAATGGGGTGAAACGTAACTAAAATCTCCAAATATTTTATTTGTTAACTTTGATTTACGGTTTCGATCAGAACTCAACTCTCATAAATAATTTAAAACAATAAATATTCATAGAGAGTAGTCTATAGTGAGATTTTATTTCAGTTTTTATTATTTATGAATGAGGGTTGAATTCTGTGCTAGTCTTTGTGGAATTTTAAACGGAAGGATTGACAAATATTGTTTAAAAATTGTCAACTCTCTCTCTCTCTCTTTCTCTTTCATGCCT